TTTTGGTTGGCTCCATTGGATTTTCCATGAGTGGGAGGATATTTTATCTTTGCCACCTCTGAAATGTTTCTTTACAATCTTGATAAGATCCTGTTATTTTTAGAATCTGCAAACTTCCAAAATTGGTTAAATCTTCTTTCTTTTCTATAAAAATTTTATGGACTTTGTGATCTATGCTTGTCCTTTTCAGATTGATGTGGCAACAGAGAAATTATCAACAATTATTAAGAGATGGAAGGGAATCTCGTGGTCTAGCAGAGGAGGCAGTGTAAGTAGATATACCCTACTATCCTTAATTGTTGGGATAAAAAGTTTGCAATTTTGCAGCATGTACTTCCATTGTGAATGAATTTGAGGATATTTTCTCAATTCACCGTTTTTTCCACTCTCCGGAAAAAAATTATTTTATTTTATTTAGATCTGTGTGAACAATTATTACAAACTTCATTCTGGTTCTATTTTTTCATGTTTTGTTGGTGATAATCCCAAGGCCTTCTAAAGGCGTGACTCAGGGTAATTTATTTGGTCTCTCATAAACAAAAGAAGCCTAAGTTTCTTTTTAGTTCACCAGTTCAAAATTCATTTATGCACTTCTTCGGCTCTTCTATGCATATTAGCTTCTTGATGGACTTGACTTGAAGCTGATTATATGCTGTCTTAGAATTCAGACAATTTATAATACTATCTTATACTTTTAGAACTTCCAAGACGTCTATGGCCATGAGAAAATTTGCTTTTGAGCGGTCCAATGCTTGAAATGCTCGAACCTTTTTCCCTTCTCTGCATTTAAGCTTTGAAGCGCTAGTGTCTTTTATGAAACCCATTTTTATTCTATTAAGATAATATCTAATATTTATGTTTATTCTGACCCAGGTTGCTCTGCGTATTGAAGCATTGCTTGGACTCACCAAATCTTTCTTTAGTCCTTGCATATTTCCTCGGGTTTGAATTCTCTGATTTTACAGTGGTCTAGTTTATTTCATATCTTAAAGATGTCAAAGAAATGGATGCCGGTGATATAAATGCTAGGAATATTATTAGGGTATAGGGTTATTAGTAATTAGTTGGGAAGTTGTTATGGTGATTTGTTATAAATAGAGTGGGTAGGAAAGGTTGAAGGCATGCTTTGGTTTAGATGGTTTAGGCTTATGCGAACACGAGAGAGAGAGGATCAAACTACCTCGAATTACTTGGGTTATCTTTGGGATCTTTATCTTTCATATTTCAATACCATTTCAACTGTTTGGGTACTATCAGTGTTCTTATGCTAGTAAAGATGTTTGCATGCTTAACTGTGGACATTGTAAATGCTTAGCAGAAGCGTTTAATCATTCACTTCTGTAACTGTTAATGGATGTATTTAAACTTATAGTGGCAGGATGAGTTTTATTATGAAATTTCTAAATTGTAGAAAAGAGTAAACATGTTTTAGGACTTGAGTCCTAGATGTCTGCTATTACCATACATTTCAGTTAATTATTTAATCATATGGTAGTCTTCTCTTTAGTTTAATTGTACACATTCGTTCCAGGTAAATCCGGGTGCTCCTATTGAGAGTGTCATGATGCCATTTAAAGCCGTTCAGCCATTAAATGGAAGCTTACAGTTGAAGGAAGTGGTCATGCGTTTCTTTGACAAATCAGTTGTGCCTATCATAGACGACTGGGGTAGATGCATTGGACTATTGCACCGAGAAGACTGCTCTGAGGTGAGTGAGAATTTTTGTTGTCCATGTCGTTGGAGACAAATTACACCGTAGTGATAAAACTTTCTCTATAACTACACATGTTATGCTTATGTAATGACTATGTAATGACCCAAACTCACCGCTGGCAGATATTGTTCTCTTTGGGGTTTTCCTTTCAAGCTTCATCTAAAGGTTAATAAAACGTGTCTGCTAGGGAGAAGTTTCCACACCCTTATAAAAATTGTTTCGTTCCCTCCCCAACCAATGTGGAATCTCACAATCCCACCCCCTTTGGGGTCCAGCATCCTCGTTGCCACTCATTCCCTTCTCCAATCGATGTGGGATCTCCCAATCCACACCCCTTTAGAGCCCATCATCCTTGCTGGCACACCGCCTCGTGTCCACCCCCTTCAGGGCTTAACCTCCTCATTGGTACATCACCCGATGTCTGACTCTAATACCATTTGTAACGACCCAAACCCACCATTAATAGATATTGTCCTCTCTTCGGGCTTTCCCTCAAGGTTTTTAAAACGCATCTGCTAGGGAGAAATTTCCACACCCTTCCAAAGAAGGCTTCGTTGTCCTCCCCAACCGATGTGGAATCTCACGTTATAAATCAAAATGGCAGGAAAATTATACTCATTGTTTGACATGAAATCTTACAACATCTGTGTGCAATCACAATGGATGCTTGATTGAATAAGGCAGGCTTCCCAAGGAATATTTATGGATCATAGATCCTGTTTTTCACTCTCCGAAAATTCCTACAAATTGTAAAATTTTGTCAAAAAACCTTGTTAGTTAAGTTTATGAAGCTTATAACAAAACCTTCCGTGATAATGAAACCCAAGCTTTGATGGGCATGTGCAGCCTTCTAGTTATTGTGATCACGGGCTATTTGTTTGATTTTGATTAAGTGAAAGGCAAAGTTTTATACCATATACTACCTTGTATCTATTCTACGATCATTTAGCTGAATGATTGTGGATGTATATAAAAATTAGATACTTAATATTTGTTTATGGTGCAGTTGGAGGCTCCCCTTTGGACAATGATGAGAAGCCCTCCTCCCGGTGTTACGACTACAACATCGATCGGACATGTTGTGAATCTAATTCTACGAAAGAGGTACAAAATGATTATTATTGTAAGACATAGCAAGTTTAGCACATACGATAGCTCGAGTTCAAGGGCTGTAGGTGTTTTTACTATCGAGCAATTGTATGGCTTTATTTCTCCCATTCCCATGCAGCTTCAGCCAAACATTCCACATAGGACGTAGATGACAATAACACTCCACTTTTTAACTTAGCTTTACAGTAAATGTCTTTATGCGTATCTCTCCTTAGTTTTAGGTGCTGTGAGATAGTTTGAATGAACTTTTGAGCATTGTGTCTATTTTTTTCTTACCTTTAAAATGCTTCGACTTTGATGATAATATCCGTCCGTAACGGGCTAAAATAGACAATATCTACTAGTAGTGGGCTTGAGCTGTTACAAATGGTATCTAAGCTAGATTTCGAGCGGGGTGCTAGTGAGAACACTGGGCTCCTAAGGGGGTGGATTGTGAGATCCCACATCGGTTGGGGAGGGGAACGAAGCATCTTTATAAGAGTGTGGAAACCTCTCTCTAGTAGACTTGTTTTAAAACTGTGAGGCTGATTGACGGTAATACGTAACGGGCCAAAACGGACAATATCTACTAGCGGTGAGCTTGGGCTATTAGAGTAACCCCATACCATAGGGATGGACATCGGTTGCGTATAAATTTGATCATTCTTTTCAATCATGCCCGATCTCCATTTCCTCATCCTCGGTCTCATTTTCCTTTAGTGATTAGATCAATCAAAATCTCCCTTCTGCCTCGGTCTCATTCCTTTAGTGATTAGATCAATCAAAATCTCCCTTCTGCCTAATTCCATCTCTCTGATTATCATTTCAAGATGTTCAACTTTCATCTTCCTCACCTTCGATTTTCAAAAGTTACATTTTTGGAACTTATCACCCTAATTGTCATCAGATTTCGATAAACTCGATCTCGGTTTCTATTAATGGGATCTTGCAACTTACCTCATGTCTACCCATTCCTTCTCATAACTTCTTTGGTTTCAAGAATTAAACCCTCTGTGGGCTTCAGTTCTTGAAATGGTGACCTTTTCTTCACTTTCTTCTAGTCTTGCATTTGCTTTGGCAGGTTTAGGTCCACTTGCAGGCCACATTATTTACAACCAATAAATAATGTTGGTTGCCCCACCAACTGAAACCTTCAAACTTAATGAGCCATACAACCCAATCGAGAAAAAAAAAAAAAAAAAAAAAACTATAAACCCCAAAAGTCAACAAAAAAAATTGTTTAAATTCAAAAGTTATTAATGAGATAAATTACCAAATTTGGAAGTAAGTTAAAGCTCAATGGAAAGAGCTAAGCTTGGTGTTGAAGGGCATATAATATTGGACATCACTTTCCTCAAAGATAGTGGCAAAAAAATTATTGTGTTTTGAGAAATTCATTGTGAACATCTTTCCTCTCCTAACCCTTTCCCTCTCCATTGGGTAATATAAATCATGCTCAAGTGGACCATCACCCCTCCAAAAAAATTATGAATAAATGCTTTAAAATGGCAACAAAGTATGGTACAAGTAAGGTTGACATGTTCTTTGGTTCCATTTCCTTTATTTAATTAATGATATATTGTTTGTACAATTGTTTTACTTATTATGTTTCTTACCAAAAAAAAAAAAAAAAAAAAAAAAAAAAAAAAAAAAAAAAAAAAAAAAAAAAAAAAAGAAAAAAAAAGAAAAAAAAGTGAGTTTTAAAATCCAACCTTTCCTTACATACAGAGTTATATTACTCTTACTTACTAGTACGAGCATAGTCGAATTATAATTGATATGTTTTTTTTTTCCTTGAGATTTGAGGTTTAAATTATCATTCGTTGAATTAAACCATCTTTTTAAAAAAACTATAGTTTATATTAAGACATAAAAAGAGAAAACAAAACGAAAACTCCCTATGAGGGATTATATTAAAATCAAATGCTATTTAATCCAAAAATTTAAAGGGCCAGATGTGTTTTTTAAACCATTAAAAAAATATTAACATGTGGGATTCTCTATAAGCCATATTTTTTAATTTTAACAATATCCAAATTCCTAATAAAATATGGCCCACACGGAGCGGGATACTGGGCCCTCTAGACCACTCGCTAAACGGGCCGCTGGGAGCCCATTATCGAGGCACCGAAATGACGCTTATGCCCCCAGTGGTGACAAAAACATCCTTCCGTTTCGTACACCTTTAAATTCCTACAATAATTCAACTGACACTGATACTGACACCGTACTGGAATCGCGTAATCAATGATGGTTGAAACTTGAACAACGTTCCTCAGCCGTCGATCATCAACTGTACAGAACACTCCGATCCGACGGCCGATATCGCAGAAGCCGCCATTTTCTTTGTTCTTGCTGCTGCAGAACGGCAACATTCCCGAGTCTTCCGCTGAGCTTCCAAGTATCCCTCAGTATATTTACACACTCGAAGTCTCCACCTGTTTTCCATTTCGGATCTTCTGTTCTTCCTTTCCTTCTCTCTTTCACCGCCATTCTTGCTCCGAAGTTGAAGAAAAGCGTCTTCAAAAAGATATCATTCGTTCTTTTGTCCCTAATTTTCTCGGAAGAAGGTGAAGTTCTTCTATTCTTCTTTACTTCTTTCGGTTTATTCTAATGTTCAATCTGGTTTGGTTTCTGAAGTTTTTCGAATTTTGTGAAGTTCTTTTGGTGTCTTCCTGATGGATTCTGTTATGCACTCTTCATTTTCCTTAAGAAGCCAACTACGAAAGATCCGAATGCTTTTTAGACGTCTAAATGAATTTTGGCTACTTCCTTTTGTTTGGTTTAATCATTTTAACTTTTTCCCGCCCTTCCATTTCTGTTGATTGAGATACATTGTAACTGGATTGCTGTTCATGTCTTTAGCTTGGAACAGGAACATTTCGTAGAAAACAATCGAGCAAAACAATACACTGAGATCCACCTATGAGGATCGATTATTGCGTATGTCCTTTGGATTCTTTTGCTCTATTCTTTTAATGGTCCTCTTTTCAGAAATGTTCCTTGAAGATCAGATATTCGGTTCCTTTTGTGCATTATTGATTTTGTATCTGAGATATTCAATTGTGCGTTCTTTACATTTACTTGTCCTAAATGATTCAGGGTTTCTTCCTTTTTTTCTTTCTTTTTGTAGTATTTTGATTGTTTATCTTCTTTGGAGTATTATCCAATATCCATTTTGTACTGTTAGATACAATGTTTTGGTGTTAATCAGCTAATTATTCTTTCTTACTCAATAATTCCAAAAGCCTGCAGTTCTAGATTGTGACACAAGTACTGTAGGATCTTTTAAAATGTTGATTTTCTCTAGTTTACGGTGTATTATCCAATATCCATCTTGTTTATGTTTGTTTAACATCAAAAGAATTCATGTTAAACTAGGACGAGTCGATATCATGAACAGAAAACAGAAAAGGAAATAAGGAAGACAAAGAAGATTTGTGTTCTAAACTGATTAACGAGTGATACTTACCTTGTGTAATCACTGCTTTGTTCCCCTTGAGACAGAGCGTTTGAACACGATTCATCAGGAGGGTTCTAATATATAAATGTAATCATGGGTGCAGATTTGATCAAGTGCCAAAGTAAAAGCGCTTCTTGCAAATTTCCAAGTTGAGATCAACAGTTGTTTGGTTCAGTGCTGAAGATATTTCAGGTAATCTTTATATCTTCTCCACAAGTTTTTTTTGGATGTGAATTTGTGGTTTTTAGAGGTTGCTTTTCTTTTATCTCTTCATTTGGTATCTTCACTGTATTCTGTTTTTGTTAGTAGGGGCACTGATGACTGACCATTGGTCCAATGGAAGTTTTTCCACTTATAGAAACTCCTCATATGTTTCTTAATTGTTGCAGATTGGTTTATAGGTTGCGAAGAGTTTCTGATGGATGAGTATTGTAGTAAAAGAGTTCATGTGGGAATTGTTTCTAGGAAGGGACCTGGTGTAGTTTTGAGGGATAACACGAAGCAGAGGGATCAAAGTAATCGACACGGCGACCGACTTGGCTGCACTGGCAGGATATGCTCCAGTAGTGGTGCACAAGTTGGCTGTTCGAGTAAAGCCAGCTCAAAAGGACTATTCTGCAGCTCAAGTGGTAAAGAAGTTGTTGGAAGTTCCAGGAAATCTTTTCCAGAGCGTTTCGGAAGGCTATCATCTAAGCTTGAAACAGATTCATCTGAAAATGATAGCATTCAAGATGAGTTGGAAGAACTGGAATTCACCTCACCTCCTGGATTGCTCCATACAGGGGTTCATGTAAAATCCAACCGTTCGGTGCCTGCTGATGCCATGTTGATGGAAAGGGGAAGCTGCAGTATGAACTCTAACAATAAATCTAAGAGAAACACCATTCAAAGATATAAAGTGGACAATCAAGAAACTCATGCATCAATGTGGCCTAGAAGTCTTTGCCAGATATCAAACGGTGGTTCCAGTAGGTTCAATTCGAGAAACCTCGCATGTGATTCAGTATCTGAAGTAGTTTCATTAGATAGTTCTTTGCTGGATCAAAACCTTGTGAGAAGGAAGAATGTAACAAAGAAAATGATATATGATGGTGAGAACAGTTCCAATTCTAAAGAAAAGATAGTGAGTGGAACTTACCGAGGACAGAAGTGTAGTTATAGGCATGGCATCTCTATTTCTGATCAAAGACCGGGTCGAAATGTGTTTCACAAGCGAAATGTTCTTTCATCACATGGGACTCGAAGTTGGACGAGTGGATGTGGTGGGGCGAGGCATTCTCAAGGCATTAGTGATAATCTGTTGGTGCACGATTCACTAACGATGACTTCATGGACGCCTCGGACTAGTGTCTCCAGTTCCTCAAATGCTTATAGTTCACTTCAGTTATCTTCAGAATCACACTCCAGACACCGCATGACTTACCCTGAACCAGAGGGCTATGGTCAAAGTCTACATGCTGCAGAAGCTGGTATTTCGAGCACTTCAACAAATGTAAACAGTTTTCGATGTCGCAATGTCAATGGCATTGCCGAGGTATTCGACTTGTTTAGACTCCGCATCACTTTTTTATGGTCTGGGGAAAGAGTTATCACTGAATTATAAAAATTGCAGGTATTATTGGCATTGGAGAGAATCGAGCGGGAGGAGCGAACTTACGAGGCGTGTAATCTATTGCTTCCTTACGTTTTTTTTTTTTTTTTTTTTTTTTATCTCCTTAAGAAAGAAACGAGTTGTTGACATGTCTTCATTTTTGTCTTGCAGCAGGCCATTCTTCTCGAGATGAGTACGTTCCTTAATCGCCTGAACATCTATGATCAGCACAGAGACATGAGACTTGACATTGACAACATGACATATGAGGTAAGCTGAATACTTCTGCAATCTGCACTTATCATATGCAATAGTTTTGACAGCAACTTTTCTCTTAAACAGCAACTTTTAGATTTAGAAGAGGGAATGGGGACAGTAAGCACAGCACTGTCTGAAAAAGAACTGACTGAATGCCTTCATAGAAGCATCTATCAGTCTGAACCTGAAGGAGGAGGAATGGCCACGGGTTCGGTCGAGGATTTGAGCGACGTCAAATGTTGTATTTGTCAGGTTACCTTTCCGATCCTTCCTTTACTACTATTAACTCAGTCGATTCTAGCACCAGGATGCCGGTTGAGTTTCTAGATTGAATGAAGGTGAATAAAATTTCATTCTGGATTGAGAATAGCTTAGGCAACATATATATGCATATTCAACAAGGTTCAAGAAACTCAAATTATAGCTTTGGTCTCTATTTTCTTTGATCTTTACTGGAACAATCGGTCGAATCACCTGGTTTTCGGTCAAGCTACCGACCCGGGCGAGATTATTAACCATGGAACATACCCATAAGTCATATTTTTCAACTTTTTTTTCAGGATAATTTCTCTCATAGGAACTTGGGTAGTTTTTTTTGGTTTCTCAATTATAATTTAGATGTTTCTGTCAAAAAAAAAAAAAAAAAACATTTTGCAGGAAGAATATGTGAGGGGAGATGAAGTTGGAAGACTGCAATGTGAGCACAAGTATCATGTAGCATGCATTCAACAGTGGTTGAGGATGAAGAACTGGTGCCCCATTTGCAAATCAACAGCTTCATCACCCTTTCAGATGAATTAAAGCCATTTAACTTTATGTTTCTTTGTTCAAATTACATCTGTTTATTGGAAATTACTGATTTTATTATTCATATTAATTAATAAAATTAATGTAGTTAAAACTATTGTAAACTTTTATACCTTGTTTCAATTTTCATCGAAATTAGTTGATTACTCCATTTTAAAATACAATATCACGTATTGAGATTTCCGTTTAGATGGAGAATGGAAGAGAGAGTGGAGAGAAATTTCTCTCCGCTAGATGAACAAGACTGGAATAGGAATTATAACTGATGTGAGATCTCACAATCCCTTTGATTGGAGAAGAGAACGGAGAAGGGAACGAGTGTCAGCGAGGATATTAGACTCCAAAGGGAGTTGGATTGCAAGATCCCACATTGGTTGGAAAGGAGAACAAAATATTCTTTATAAGGGTGTGGAAACCTCTCTATAGTAGAGACGTTTTAAAAACCTTGAAGGGAAGCCCAAAAAGGACAATATCTGCTAGCGGCAGACTTGAGCCGTTACATTATAGCTGTTGAACTCGAGAAAACTATTAACTACCTCATTTGTACTTCATTGATGCATCAAAGTCTAAGCCTAAAACACCGGATTTGCTTATAGAATAAATGTGTACTCCTTCCTTTGACTAGCTCACAAACAAAAGGAGACACATTGACATCAGATATTGCCTTACATGAAGCAGAAAGAGAAAGTCTAGACACAGCTGAGTGAGTAAAATGAAACCAGAATTAGTTGACCATGCTGAACAACAAAAACGAACAATAAATATAAATGGAAACTAAGAATAGGATAGCACAGCACAGCAGGTCAATATCGGAATTTTCAAAGAATTCTGCATGCCACTGTTGGTATGGACAACATGGAACAAAGACTGCAGTTTGATCATCTCTAAGCTCAGGATAACAAAGTTTTCAAACATATTATACCAAATATAGGATCATTCGGCACGATAATAGAAATTCGATTTAAGAAGATATAAATTAGATGAGAGAACCATCTCGTCAAAACCCGAAAGTATGTTCTTCCTCGATCAGAAGTGTTCCTAAGCCAACGGAAGATTAAGGCTTTCTTTTTTCTTGTTCAACATCATGTAAATAATGTAGTTTCAGAAGTATTGACAGAAATAGAATACTTTTAATCAATAACTTGATTTTTTTTTTTTTCAAAAACAAACCTTACATCAAAGATAGGAGCCAAAATAAAACTTGTGACGTGATATGTAAGAAGAAAAGATAGTGTGTCATGTTGACATGCTGTAATAGCTCAAGCCCACTGCTAGCAAATATTTTCTTCTTTGGGCTTTCCCTTCTAGGCTTCCCCTCAAGGTTTTAAAACGCGTCTGCTTGAGAGAGGCTTCCATTCCCTTATAAAGAATGCGTTGTTCCTCTCTTCAACTGATATGGGATCTCACAATCCACCTCCCTTGGGAGCCCAACGTCCTCGTTGGCACACTTCTCGGTGTCTGGCTCTTATACCATTTGTAACAGCTCAAGCCTACCGCTAGCAGATATTGCCCTATTTGGGTTTTCCCTTCTAGGCTTCCCCTCAAGGTTTTAAAACATGTCTGCTAGAGAGAGATTTCCACACCCTTATAAGGAATGCTTCGTTCCCCTCTCCAACAGACGTGGAATGTCACACATGTACTTTGCCACTTCACCTGGATTGCTTCATAAATTCCTTCCTTTGTACATTACAGACTCTGAAGTTCATATTGTTCAAAGCAATAGATACTTTTCATAACATGACTACAATACAGCTAAAAATGAAGAAATTTTTTTTACTGACAAGCAAGCTATATATCATAAGAAAAAAAATGGCAAACCTCTTAGAAGAAAACTAAATCAATAGTATGATGATAAAACAGCAGACATCACAAGAACAGATTAGTACAATGCTTAATAGTACTTTAGATGCAAATATGCTTTGCAATCAACGCACTAGAGCCCACAGAAGTTTAAATTATTTGAGCAGGAAAGAAAAATAGTTATTTCTAGAAGGAGAAGATACCTTTCCGTGGTATTATGACCTTGAGCCTTGTCTACTCCAAACTTCAATCATTACGTTAGCTTTTAGTAAGAATTATCTGCATCCAATTGGGCATAGTATCTGTAGAACATTGATTTGTTCAGTAGCAAGCTGGATATCGATCTCGTTGCAAACATCTTGAAATCAGGCTGTGCTGCTCCTGAGATGAACTTCTCACACGCATACGTTCACATTTATCTGGAGGGGGCAGCTGGCACTATTCACATCGTGAAAGTGGGATTAAAGACAAGAGCAACATGATTATATATTGGATAATCATATAGTTGAACAGGGGACCAAACTACAAAGCGCATTGAAATGGATGTTAATTTGTTATTGATATTGAAATTCCAATAAATTCTCAGATTCTAAAGATACATACAGAGCACCTGAAGCTCTCACCCAGGTGATTCATCTTTCACCAAGCTAAACGACAGTATTCCTGCAAAACTTTTTTGATTCTCTCAAAAATAAGTTACATGAAAAGCTAAGTTACATGGTAGTGGCAAATGGGGCCAATATGAATGCTAAAAATGCAACAGAACAACCTTTTACGGGCATTCTGGCTGAAAGCTCCCCCTTTCTTAGTCGAGTTAATTCAACTTCCTCGATGCAGCAGGCAATGATGTCACAATATTTTAGCATGAAAGCTTGGAGCCTGAACCAAATGGGAGCGATCAAGTACACCCCAGGAAGAAGGGAAGAACGGGAAGACATCCCAGGTGCGTTTAAAAGCCCGAAGGAACAGAGATCAGCCTTGGATGGCAGAAGAATAAATAAAACCTTTGCAACCGCTTATTCCTCAAAGGCACGCATACTAATTTTCTCCAACAGCAAAGGCCAATCTTCCCCAAGCTGCTTTGGATTGAGCTCCATAGCAACTTTGAAATCCAGCAATGACACTGAGCATTCAAAACTCTTTTCCTCCAAAACTTCAGATCGCCCGTTGCTATTCTGTACACGTAGGTGGTTAGTAGGCCACATACCATTTATAACCTTCCCTTGATTTTGTTGCTTCTGGATCGGGTGCCCTGTATGTTCAAATGTAGACCTTGTTCTCACCAACTCAAGGCAAGACTTTATCAATTGCTTCAGGTACACATCAAGAGTATTATTCAGGATGTTAGGACATTCCAAAGAAACACCTTCAAGCCCTTGTGCAGTTGCAATTTGTTCCATGCGTTTTCTCACTGTCTCTGAATCAGACAATCCAATACTGTCATAACAACTCAGAAAATCGACACAACTGCCACTACTGCTGACTGGCAAGGCCTTGCGTGCCCCACCCACACTCGCTGAACAAAATGGAATACCAAGAGGTGGAAGTAGAGGACCTCTAAGGAAGCTTAAGGGATCTGATTGTTCCACCTCCTCTCCTTCTTCAAGAATGGATGCTTCTGTTGGACGTATTCTTGGTTTTCCTGACGGCCGCTGAACTGATCCATCTATGTCATTCTCAGGTAGCTCAGCTACTGCTTGAAGTTGCTGTACAGGCCTCTGATAGTCACACATGGTTACATTACCATTCTCTGTAATAACTTTCCTATCTTCAGTACCAGTTGATTGATACGAAAGACATGCTGTTTTTCCATTTGGACCAAGCGGACTCGGCCTATCCCTAAACTTCCCGCGTAAGACAGATCTACCCTTCCGTGGGGACACAGGCAGAACCCCATTTGTCCAAATTGGTATACTCTGATTCTGATTTGGAAAGGCAGATCCAGTTTGTTCAGGGGCATCTTCTCTGCAAGGAGTATTGTTCGAAGCTTGTAGCACAGATTGTGCATGTCCTGATACATTTATAAGTGGTGGGGTCTTGGCTACACATGCATTCTTCAAAATTGACCTTATCAATTGATTGTGGAGCTGAATATTCTCCCTTCCAAGCACACGAACGCACAGCTTATCAAACTCAACCTTGCTCAGCTTCTGACCCAAGAATTTACTCAAGTAGAAGAAGTACCGCTTGGACTTGTCATTTCCAAGTTTTTTAACTATCTGAGCTTTCAAGTCGCCTAAATCAATTCTGGAGCTTTGCTGAGATTGCATTTCTCCAGAGGCCGGTTGGGTTCATACACCGTAAACTGCAGCTCCAACCCCAGAATTGTCACTCGAATTGAAGCTGAATTGCGGTACTGTACCAATACAAAATCCCCCAGAATTTATACTTCCTCGTCATTCAGGACAAATCAAGTCTGAAAGGCCGCACCATTTGGTAAAAAACAAAATATACACAAACATATATATAGTACGTGCACCAAGCAAAAAAGAGCGGGTTTACAGCAGCCTGAAATCATAATTCCAGCAATGACTGAGTAACATTTAATTCGGAAGGATTCCGCAATCAACAACAGAAGCAACAAGCAGTAGAATGCAAACCCAGATCTATACTCCCAAAACCAAAACCCTAAAGATCAAAGCAGCTAAAGTCACTAAACCCCACAGCGAAACACGAGAAAAATCAAGGCAAGAAACTTGTATTTATCATGGCGCAAAATCAAAGCCCTAAGTTGAAATTGAAAAAAGAAAACCAAAACCCGGATCGGTCGAAAAACAAAAAGAAACACCACCTACCTCGAAGGCGAACGCAAGAGGCGCGAATTGCAGCAGAGCAGCAATAGAGGAAACCCTCGTCCGTTAGGCGCAATTGAGGATGTGAGGAAGTTGGAAGTAGGAAATTGGAAGTATAATGATGGAGATCAGTAAAGTGTATGAGAAAAAGCGGAAGTTGGGGGTTCGAAAACGAGATTGAAGAACAAGAACACGGATGAATGATGAAGAACAAGAAGAAGAAGCAGAAAGGAAGCTGAAAATCATGGAAATGGAAGGATGGTTTGTGGGTTTAGAAGGAGATTGTATGAACAAGCTCTGACCTCAACGAAAAAAACTATGAAAGATTTGCAGCGAAAAACCAAACTTCACTCACTGGGTCCCAATCCCCCCCTCCTACCTTCGCCTTCTTGCCTCTCTCTCTCTCTCTCTCTCTCTCTCTCTCTCTCTCTCTTTTTTTTTTCTTTTCAATTTTACTAAACAAAATACCCTAATTTTCCTTTATTTTTGGATTTTCATCAAATTTCTTCCAACAATTTAATTTCCCTAACTTTTAAATTTACAATAATTAATCTTATTATTTTAACATTTATTACACTTTAATTTTTACTCGGTGGAAGTCTGAGTTGTATCGTAGTCCCAATGTTGGCTGATTATTCGAAAAACCGATGAAATATCATTGGCTTATCGAGCACTTATCTTATCGACGCATAAATTATTTATTTATTTATTAAAATTAAACATCAATTTTTACATATATAACTTATAAAATACTATAATAAAATTTAAAGGAAAAGAAATATTTTTTTACCTATTATTTGTTTCTTTCACTTAATTTGTTTTAAAATTTGTAATTAATATTTTTAAAAGTCTAATTTTGTGTCATGAATTAATTTTTTTTAATATAGATTTTTTTGGAAATAAAATTAAAATTTTAAAATACTATTACTCCAAAATTTTAGAGATTATGAGACAATTTAAAATAAAATTTTGAGATAATATTGAAGTAGAAATCATTGAAAGACGTCGAATGAAAATTAGGATTTAAATCGATGTGATGGTGACTCAAAAGAAAAAATTTATGTCATAGCGTTTTAGGTCATCCCCACACCGACCTTTTAACAAAATTTTCCTGACTTTAAAGGTACTTTTTAAGGGACGTTATTTAATTATTTTATATTATGATCTAATTTAAGCATATTGTAATTGGTTCAAAAATATATATTATGGAGCGGAATGTCACACGCCACGTAATAATTTTTAAGTTAGGATTGATGCAATATCATTCTAACCAAAATAATAATAATGATAATAATAATAATTATAATGATTTAAATTTATCACATGTATTCAATGGATCTATCTTTATTAATTAATCACTCTTCCCAACCGTAATAACTGCCGAGCTGCAAAAGGGACAAAAAAAAACTGTCCCATTTTGGTAGTTAATTTCTTTATTTCTCATTTATAGTTTATTTTCTCACACTGTTTTTCACGTAAGAGTAAGGAAGGTAGTTGATTGATTGGATTTTAATTAGTTTTGTTAGTTATTGCTTTGCTTTTTTAACTTCATTTGGTTGGAGATCGTCGAACAGAAACCAAATTAGCTGGTTTAATAGTCTTTCTATATTTTATCGAACAACACTTTATTTTTTAACTATCCTTGCTGGCACACCGCCCGGTATCCATTCCCTTTGGGACTCAGCGTCCTCACTGGCACACCACTTGGTATTTAGTTTTGATACTATTTATAATAGCTCAAACTCACCACTAACAGATATTGTCATCTTGGTGCTTTCCCTTTTAGACTTCCCCTCGAGATTTTAATACGCGTCTGCTAGTAAGAAGTTTCCACTTTTAACGATCTTAAAATGAAATTCTAACGAACGGTCTAAATTGATACCACGATATAACCCATAAACGAAAAGCCTTGATTTTAAACATTCCTCTCAGAAATTTTCCATAACTTTAATACACAAAGCATCTTCGGTGTGGCTTATTCAAGCTGATTCTATGATCTAGCTCTATACAAAATCCATACAACTAATCAAACTACTAATGATACAACAACCTTGCTTTTTAGCTATGGTCAAAAGTTTTATGTTCAATGTTTGGTTCCACACAAAAATTCAACACAAACTACACTCTCGTTTCCTCCCACGTCAGTTTCTTCGTCTTCCTCGTCGTTGATGCGTCATTCTGCCGCCCGTCTTCCCTGCTGCTACGCTGCTTTGTGAACTCGGCTTCTCTACTGTATTAACATTACCAGCACCATTTTTTCCCTCGCTAGAGGAGATTTTACAGTTCTCATTGCCTTCTGATACAACTTCACCGATATCACTTCCACCCGATAGAGCTTTATCGCTATCATTTTCGTTCACGTCTGGGACCTCCATGGACACTTCACTTAATAGTTTGCATCGTATCTCTACAGACGACCCTTTCATCTCATGGTCGCAACCTGATGAATTGTTTTCTTCCACTACATTGTCGATATCGTTCTGTTCTACAACAAGCTCCCGCGAAGAACTGCAACGCAAGAAAAGAAACTCAGCTATTGCATAATATTTACTTGGATAGAGCGTCAGGAGAGACGAGATGCACGGGTACCTAGGTACCGAAGGAGAACCATTGGGCAGCCCTGCAACTTCGTGCAACGCAGAGCGTTCTCTCTCATTTAAACTTGAACTTGATGCTGCACGGAAAAACAAATACAGTTCACCACCTAATTGTTAGCGAAGCATATTCTGCAGTAGGAGCTGATCAAAGGTTCATTTTTTCAATTTTCGTTATAATTTTTTCTCTCTTACCAACGGGAAAACAATAAACATTACAGTTTGACAATCATGTAAACCAGCTTGTTAGCACTCTGATAAATCCAGTGCAACTACTGCTTAATCCTACAACTGTCAGAAAAACGAAGAATGTAAAACATTTCGATAAATTTATCACGTACCTTTTCTCTCGGCGGGAGGATCAGTTTCCAAATCCTGCAAGCAAAGGAAACAATTGAACTGTATCAAATATCTAGTGGGATCGATACCACTCCACTAAGAGATGAGGTGATACCAAAATTTTCATAGAACAGACACTAAGTTCATTTGCAAAAGTCTGATAGATATCTAGTCTTATTTACGTATATCGATATCGAAAAGGGGTGAAGATCACCCGACAAAAAACCCGGGCAATTTAAGAGGACGGGTCACTCAAACTCACGTCACTGCTCATAGATACCAAATACAAAATTTAACTGTCAGATATGCAATTTTTCCATTTTGCTCCTCCTAGAATATAGGTTCAGTGTTGGAGATCCAACAAGGCCCTTCAGGGAGTCTGTTACCTTATCCTGTTGCAGAACGATGCTGGTTGTACCAAGTAGGCAAGTTTTGTTTTCCGACACATCTCGAGTGGTCTTTGACTCTGTGAGGGTGCGAATAAGGTTCACGATGTTTATGGAGTTCCAAATTACAGATAGAGAATTAAGACATTTTTCATTATTTTTTGACAAATGTAAGTACATTGTTGGACTCATAGAAATGCGTACCTAATAAGTTTTGAATGACAGTATTGTCGGGCGACCGATTCATTGATTTATCTATCGACCTTACAGCATGCTGCATTTTATCTCCACTAGCAATTTTCGGGTAGTCATAACGTGCAGAACTCGAATTACTTTTGTGGTCTGAGGCAAATGAAGACCAATCAAGCTTGGCAGATGGAGTTCTTAGCAGTTCCTCAGTTGCTTTTAATCGTATGCGTCGTATTTCCTCCTGGATTTTCCATGATCCACTGGCAGGAGATTCCCTTTTCACCTGCACTCCAATATCGACAAACAAAATGACGAGTTGTGTTGTAGAAAATTACATGATCATGTTCCTACAAGCATACACAAATTATACTACCAGCCAATGTTGGTCGGTCCTCTAGGTGCTATATTTACTACACGATTTCGAAAAACTTGAAAAAGTATCTATCAATTGAACTTTCAACTGGTAGTGACTCGAAATGACAACCATACTAAAAAGTTGTAGCATAGAGAAATGTTCTGGAGAAGCATAGTGAGTGTAGTTTAATAGATAAAATGGTACCTTAGACGAAGATAGTGGATTTCCACTAATTAAATATGATGTTTCTTCTTTGAAAAGTTGTAACCCTAATGGTGAAGGAGACTTGAAGTCAAAATTATTCGTCGAGGGAGATGCCCATGGAGGACGTGCCCGCATGTATGATTTGGCTACATCTACAGGTGAGCCCATCTCTTCATCATTAACCTGTAGTTACATAAAAAAAATATCTCTTCATCATTAACCTGTAGTTACATAAAAAAAAATATCCAGTTTACATCAAGTACTAAATAAACTATATGATCCCGCAAAAAAATGACTAGTAGAATAACTATTATACACAAGTTAATAAACACGTGCAATGTGATCGAATCGAGAACAAAGTGTAATTAAAAAATTTATTCTCTCTACCCTCATTCACACTTTAGAAGCAAGTCGTTCCTAGGAAAATTTTGATATTCCAACCACAAGGACACTATTATGTTTTCTTTCACTTGTTCTATTTACTTTCATATCAGTCTAACCTAATTTTCAATTGATTGAAAATATCGGCTGAAATTTAGCTCGATCAGCCAAAAGCAAATCCAATGTAAGAAACCATTGAAAAGACATTGAGTAACAACTAGAAAGAAATATGCCACATTCAAGAATAACAAAAGAAAGAATCACCAACCACTGGCAAATTTGTGGAATTCAAGGTGCATGACCTGTGATCCAATTTCAACGTCGAAGTAGACCCCAGTCCTAATCGTTTTTCGTTCAACCATTTTTTTGCCTCGAGAATCGCTGTGCTGCAGATTGCAGGCCTGCCATCATCTGTGTTTATTTTTACACATCTTAGTCTGGTAATAAAGTTTAAATTTCTCATTAGGAAAATATACTCCCTAACATTTTTTTTTTTCTAAATGTTGACACAACTAATTATTTGTATAAAATTAAAATTCTGGTTCAAAGGAGATTGGAAGATAAGTACCACTATCAACGGCTCTGTTTGATATCTCAGTCACCCTCCCTGCAGCCTCACCTTTGATGGTTTGACATTCTACAACCCTTGATTCAATTATCTGAAATAACTTGTCACGCTCCGCCCTGCTTGAATGAAAGTGAGAATGATATGATCCAAAAGGCACAAGTAACAAATAATCGAAGTGTATCATAAAGTGGTAGTTGAAAAAACCAAGCTCATTATACTGTCATTTGTCAAGCATGACCTAAACTATTTAACAACGAGACCATCATCACCGAACATATAGGACTATAGTTTCCTGAGAGCCAGAAGGATTAAAGGAATGGCCACAGGGAACGAGTGCATAACTTATTTCAGTATTGTTGATCACAAAAACAAAATGGAGATTGTTTT